TTCGTTTTCCTGCGAAGCTGGGATGTACACTGATCATCCCACGCGCCGCCGCTCCTCTCCGGGGCATCCTATGCTTGTTGTTTGGCAAGGCTGACCGCGAGAAAATCGAGCAAAAAGCAAAGACAAGTAAGCACGACAAACGCAACAAGCAAGAGGGAGACAACCACGGCAAACACACACACACAAACACACACCAGTCAAATGGCACACTTTTTTTCACTGGTTTCTCTTTCAACTCACACGTTGCATACATATCCCAGATGCCAGGAGTTTGAGTTCCCATCCGCCCCTCCGCCCAGCCCCTCCGCCCCTCCGCTCACCTTAGGCGGGGCACGCTGTGCCGCTGCAAGAGCGCCGCCGAGATGGCCGCGGAGGCGCTGAAGGAGCTGCCGCGGCCCGGACGAAGGGACGAAGCGCGTCAGCGCGTCGTGTGGCGACCCTTTGGGGAGGGACTGATTAGGGGATGGACGGAGTGCAGCGCACCTGAGCCAAAACCAAAACCCGGGGAGATGGAGGTTATCCATTGTGACTCACCTGTTTCATAGACCATTTGAAAAGGGTCTCAAGCCAAGTAAGCGCGCACTTGTGGCGACATACAATTGCGAGCTTCCGGGCTGCCTTGCTGCATGGTGTGGACAAACACTTCCGGCCAACACGCGAGACATTTGAGCACACATACGCCGCACGCACACACCCACACACCCACATATATATATATATATATGTATTATATATACATATATAATATACCTGGACCTTCCAACATGTAAAACTAACGCCGTTTCCCAAAACAGCAATAATGTTCGCCGGTTGCTGAAAAAAACGCTCTTTCGGAGAAAAAGCGCTCGCCGTGAGTCCAGCTCGGAACCAGGCAAAAAAAACGCCGTTTCGCCGGCAAATTACGCCGTTTTGACGGCAAATTACGCCGTTTTGCAATTTTGATTGATGCTAGAGTGTGCAAACACTGAAAACTGCCGGCAGGCGAAAATAATCGCCGTTGGGTCAAAAGACATAGTTTTTGACAAAACAGCAATCATTTTGCACATGTTGGAAGACCCAGGTCTATATATATATATATATATAACACGCACAAGTCGTGTGCGCATATACTGGCTAATTGCATGACAGCCCCCTATTTGCTTTGGCCCGTTTGCCGGCATTTCAACACGTTTGCCACCTGCAAAACAATAAACACCAATAAACACCAAACACCAATCAACACCAATCAACACCAGTAAACACCAATAAACTCCAATGAACACCAAACATGTCGCTGCCGCAAAGCCAATTTGGAGCCTGAGACTCAGCCGTGGCACGGCTCAGGCCCGAGGACAAGCACGCGCTGGTGGCCCGGCTCGTGTACGCCCGGGCGTTGGCGGCCTGTGGGGATCGCGCAGCTCAGGCGGGCGAGCCCCCGAGTCGGAGCCGGGGCCCGTGGCCTTTTTGGGGCCGCAGAACTGCGAAGAGCTTTTTGCAATAGAGGAACCATCCTGCAAAAAAGAGGATTGGACCCTTCTACACTCAGAGGCTGGTATGAAAGCCAGAGATGGCATGAACCTCTGATATGATTCCTAGGTTGCATGTTTATGTGCCTGAGGAAGCTAGAAGCCCTTTTGTTGGTGATGCAAGCAAGTACTACAGCTGTACCAGGTGAAGGGGGCTTGTGTAAGCTGAGCTTTTGAGTTTTTCGGAAAGTAAACTGGAATGGTGCCAGGGAGAGCTTGAAGTCTGAAGCAACTTCAATCCTGCGATAAGAATACATTCCCGGCACGCCCACTTACCCATCTCCAATGCAACTTGGTGCCCACTGCAACGGCGTCACACCTCCAGTTTGCCGCCAGCCCAACCCCCAACCACTTCAACTCACCTACGCAGACAGACGTGTCGGAAAGAAGCCAAGCACCCATCCTGAGGCGACAGATATCGGATACTTCTATTGCAAGACTCAGACACACGCACACCACACAGTGGTAACAAACCGGATGCACCTGGGACATGACCAATCATATGACTGATACACATGAAACTCACGACAAACAGGGGATCAGATTCAGATACCAGTGACACCTTTGCAGAACACTCACACGACAAACTCCTTTGCTGGGCGGGGAACAAGCATCTTTCAGGCCTGATGCAATAACAAGCTTTCCGTGGAGTGTTGGCAGATTCTACCACCGATCCCGAAAAATATAACAAAAGCATTTGTGGAGATGCAGCTTTCCAATTCTTCGCCCCATTCGCAGCAAGGCGGAGGATCAAGATCCATATTAGTCCTGATGCACTTGGTAGCTGGGCGGAACAGAACGATCTCAGAATTCCGGCAGTTTTTGTTGTCGCTTTGTTCCGCAGGCGAACCACAGACATTGTAAAAACCTGAAAGCAATGGGCAGGCTTTGTTATCGACATGGGGGAGTCGGCCCTTCATGTTTGCAACAGGTATTCATCGCGTGCCGTGGGTCCGCACCCCCCGCCCCCCATGTTGGCAGGCAGAAGCTGCTGCAACTCAGCCAGCATCGAGCAGGTTTCGTTCATCAAATGCAGCTGTCCATTCCAGACGTTGCGCGCGGCCAACCACTTGTCATTCAGAATTTCCATTCTATTTCATCCCCGAAACTTCCCGCTTTTTCCAAGACTTCGGTAGTCTGCCTTTAAGGATTCAGGCCATGGATCTCATAGAAACAGCTGAATTTGCAAGGGGGAAGTCTGCCTGAAAGTACCCAGAATGGGTTGGCGCTCCAACTCCGAACGTTCTGAGAAGCTTGACATGTTCTTCGCAGCGCGCGCGCTGTGTGTGTCTGTGTGTCTGTGTGTGTCAGCTTCTACTGTTCAGTACTCGTACGGCAACGCCTTGCGCGGAAATAGGCCCGTAGAGGGTTTTTCAGCCCACCTCAGTGTCTGTGCATATAGGAAGTGTCTCGCATGCTCTTCATCAACAGCTGTCTCTCGACTCTGATAGACCGTGATCACTGCCTGCTTCTTCCAGAGTTCAGATGTAGCCGACGAATGCGTGGTGTGTACTGAACGCTGGCATGCGACGGTATCTGCGGCCTGTGACGATTTGCAGCTTTAACCCGGCCAGCCGGGTTGCATCTGCGACTCAGGCGGCCTTAGAGAAGCCTGGGCCTCGGACTGGGCCCGGCATGGATCCGGCAAACTCGGTGGGCTTCCTATGGCTTGACATAGACTCAACTGCCACTAGCTTTCACTTAAAGGCAGCTGACGGAATTAGCAGACTGTCTCAAAGTAAAGAAGGAATCTTTTTGGCAGTGCTGGTGCCCTTGTCTATAAATTCGGATGGTGGCCTGTTTTGATGCGAGGCCAGGGACTGGCTTGAGTCTTGTGAAAGTTTGAAGCTTGTTGTGGCTACAGGTGTTGCACGCACAATGCCAAGCTGCTATGTCAAGGCATCATGTTTTCACGCATCGCAGTGTGCAGGCAAGAGACACTCAATTCACCCCTTTGTTTGGGCTGTCGAAACGCGCGAATTGTCTGGCCCTTGCGCCGAGCCGGAAATCTCAAGGGGCTTCAGGGAACTTATCCCTACTGGACATATGTTTGCTTTTCCAGGGGGCTAAAGCAAATGAAGGATGATTTTATCACCGGGGGCAAGGATGGTTTTGGTCATGGGTCCGGAACCTACGAGCTGCCAGCGGGTCCGCGGGCTGCGATGCATCGAGGTGCCAGCGCCTGGGCGACCGCAGGAAGGAGGCCTATGCGCTGCACGTGCTGGCGCTGGCAACGGCGCTGGGCGGCACACGCTCCGCCTATGAGGCGAGGGGAGAGAAAGGGGGAGGATGTGACTGTGTCACAGGAGACGTTGGTGCTTCATTTGACAAAACAAGTTTTTGTGCCGTTGCATATGTATGTATATGTATGTGTCTAGAATACATATATACATATATATGTATATGTATGTATATATATATATATATATATTATAATATAGAATATATCTATGTTTTTGTATGTTTCTGATGCCCCTCCATGGACCTGAACCCTGGCCAAGTTTTCTGGACATTTCGGTGGCTCAAACAGTCACAGGCCAACCTTTTGCCGTGCTGTTGGGACACAGTTGCCCGGCCGGGCTTAAAACGGGCTTGGCGCGGCCTTTGTGAGCCACATGTTGCAAATAGCTTGACCCGTGCTGCTGCTTTGGAAAGGGCAGGTGGTTGGTTGAACATAGTTGCGAGCTTATCAACGATGGTTGGAATTTCGACTCTGTCGAAAGACAGCCTTTCCAAACCGAGCTCTTGCTGTTGCCTAGCTGTTGGGTTTTGCAGCCTCAAGGTTGTATCCGTAGATATATATAGATATATATATATATATATGTAGAATAGCGGCACAGGAGTGCAAGCACCTGCAAAACCGATGATTTTTGGCTGACAGGATGACTGTTGGATATTGAGCAGCTTATTGTTGCCCAGTATGTGTTGCAACGGTGTTGCAGCATGGTCAACCCTTGAAAAGAGCTGGCACTACCATGGCGCGGAATGTCAGAAGCGCCCAGCATCGTCACCCTCAACCTAATGCAAGGCTGAACGAATCGGGCGCTAGGGAAAGTCCCACTTGTGTTTGATCGAGTGCAACTGCTGAAGGGGCAACGTTGTGTCTCATCACATCCTACAGTTTGCAATGTTTGTCTTTCCAAATCCACATCACTTTGCTTCCTCCCCAATGTTTGCTTTGCTCTTCTGGAGATGAGGGCCTGCCCTCAATTGTCAGATTACTCGATCAACGCAAAACAACTGAGCACGGCCCGAGGTTGCTGGCGGCTTGGCTCTAGGGAACCTCACCGAACCGAGCTTTGACCGCTTCATGTATTGCGCTGCAGGCTGTATGACCATACCCTCAACACGACCACCTATTGAATTCAGGAGCAAGAAAACGCATGTACACACATTTGCCGGATTTCGTATTTTTTTCAGAGATTGCTGAGTTTGCCGTTATCACATTTGATTTCATGCGTGCGTGCGACTGATCGCCTTGGCATGCGCCTGGCCATGCTTCTGAGCTGGGCATGGCTGCTGCTGTGCGCCGCGGAGACGGAGGAGGTTTCCTCCCTGTCGATGCTTCAGAGGAGCCTGGCCTTGTCACTGGCTCCCAGGACGGCCGCCTCGCAGGCCTCGCAGGCGTCCAGAGGAACGGCTTGCGGCCCGGATCAAGTCTACAACCTCCACATCCCCAAGTCTGCGGGCAGCTCCTTCGCGCTGGACGCACAGAAGATCCTCCAGAAGGCGCAGCTGCGGATCATCAGCCAGGAGGGCTGCTTCAGCCTGCACCGCCAGAATGCTCACCTGAAAGGTGGGGGAGGGAGGTGAGGGAAGGGGGGGGTGGTTGCGAGACGAGCGGACTTCAGGGTCACAAGCTTAGCTTGGTCTGCTACATTGGGCTTTGTTCTGATGCTCACATCTCACATTGTCTTTTGATGCTTTGCACAAACACGCACACACACACACACACACAAGCAAAACAAACAAACAAACAAACAGTCCGGGATCGATGATGAACCGGACATGAAGCAGTGTTGATCAGCACCCTGCAGGACATCAAGCAGCATCGCAACGATCATAAAACACTCGTTGCTTCTAACAAATTGCAGAGACATACAAAATGAGAATGGCAAAACTTCAGCGCAGCTCACCGCCGTTGATCTACCTACACTGCATGCTAAAGGATGCAATGCTGCGGCACGGATATGCTCTTGAGGCACCTGTGTTGCTTGTTTGACGCAAACGCACGTTTCAGCACATCATGCTCGCAGGGTGTAGTTGTCGTGTCATTGCCAGTAAAGTGACTTGGTGCAGGAACGATCACCATGCTTCGAGAGCCTCGTGCGCACGTACTCTCGCAGTACCTTGTCGCAAGCAGTTGTCCCCACGGTAGTGTTGTTGATTCTTTTGAATGTCTTGGTATTTTCGGAGGAACTCTCAACCCAATCTACGCAAGGAGTGGCTGCTCCGCATCCCAACTCGCATTTGTGCAGCGGGCAGCATGCGAGATCATCCCATCTTCCGGCTTCCGCAAGCTCGAAGTACGGCCCGTGCCACGAGAAAAAAAGAACAAGCATTCGGGCCCAAAGCGAGGGCTTGAACCGAAGCCGAAAGAGATCACGTTGGCCGAGGTACAAGATGTGCCGCAGCCACTGGGTTACCCAGTACCGTGAAGCTCTGTCTGCCAACTCTTCCGAGCAGCTGCCCGGGCGCTTTGCCGAAACTCGGAGGAGTTCAGAGAAACAGCCTGCCGACTGCGATGCATTTCAGGGTAAGTGGTTGGGTCGTTGCGCCGTTTTATGCGCATGGCGCTATTACTCACTCTGGGCCCTCAATCGCTGGGGGGGAGGAAGGGAAGAAAGACACCTGTGCCTCACTTCATGCCAGCTTGTTTGCAAGGTTGTTGCGTCCCTTTGGGTTGCTCGTCGGAAAAGAGCACAGGTTGCCAGAAGATGTTGATTTGTTTTTCCCGGGGCTTAAACTTCTTCTGTGTTTCCCCACAAGCATCGTGCATGTTTGGAGCTGTGTGTGAACTACGATGAACACAATAGGATCTGTGTGCGCAAAGCCGAGTGATCAAGCGCGGAATAGGAACAGGGAATCCAGGACTCCAGAGCTGCCAGAAGGGGATTGCACCGAATGTCAAGCTCGACTGGGAACTTGACAAGTGTTGTGAATCTCCGGAATGTTCTTGACTTGCTGGTGCGAAATCGGCAGGGAGTGAGAAATGGAATGAACCGAAAAAAGAAAGAAAGAGAACAAAAAAAACACATCCAACTGGTGTGCTTTCCTTTAAGAGATGGGTTCATTCCATTTCTCGATCCCTACCGATTTCGCCGCCAGCGGCGTGCGCTCCGAGGACTGGGTGGCCGCGTGGCGGCGCAGGAGTCTGGCGGACTTCAGCCCCCCAAGCGCCGCGGAGTCGCCCGTGGAGCGGACCGTGCGGCAGCTGCGAACGGAGGCGATCCGGGAAATTGGTCGGACGGAGTTTCGGGGGGAAACGGACAAGACCTCCCCCGACAAAGGATTTCCGGGGGATTTTCGGGGGAAACGGATGTTCGGGGTAGCAAACATCCTTTTTCTGGGGGACCCGAAATGGCCAAACGCTGTTTTTGATGGAAGACACTCCAAAAACCGGTTTTGGTCAGACGGATGGTCGGGGGGAAGAAAGAAAATGTGCGATGAGAGACAAGAGAGGCCGATTCTGGGTGTGGCACGTCACCAAAATCACGAGCTTCGCGTTGAATGTGATCCTCGGTTGGATCTCGTTTCGGAGGGTGTTGACCATGTTTCCTACGGCTAGCTTGTTGAACATATCTGAAGGTGGGGGACTCACTCGCATTTTCCAACGGAGTCCTTCTGGTTGCGCCTGGTCAAACCTTGTCGGACAGCTCGTTTGCAGCCCCAAAACAACCTTTCCATAGGTGACGCCATATCAGTGGACTTGGAAGGCAGGTATTGTAGTCTTGCAGACTCATGCACGCGCCATGATCAGCCGGTGTTCATCCAATCACAGTGTTTCACAAAACTCGCTGCTTGCAAACTGGCCAGGCAGCATTTTCGTTCACTCCAATGCAGGCCTTGCTTTGCGACTCTCAAGCTTGCGAGCAGCGATTGCCCCTGCCAGCGTGTCCTCCCCGTCGTACTATGTGATCATTTCAGGCTCTTGAGCGCAGTCCAACTTGCCACATTTTGCCGACTTCAGGCATGGCTTCTCATCTATTGGCTGGTGCTCAGGCTTCTCCCAACTCTCCCCAAGAGTTCCCGAGGATGGTTGGCGGGAAGGGAGCACCCGCTATCCTCCCCGGCATTCCCGTCAATAGTCAACGCACCTTCGGTATCAATTTGGGCATTCAATCTAGTTAGGGACCCTTTGGCGGACATGAAATGTAGGTGGGGATTTCTGTCCACCACTTTTCAGGTGGTTCCTTGTTAAACCCATGGCCATTTCCGGATTCCCATGCTCATCTTGCTTGCCACCAGATCCGACCCGAAAACGAGGTTTCAGACCCGAGGCCTGGGGCCAGCCGCCCTACAGCGTGAAGCCCACCGTGCTGCGGGTGGAGGACTGGGCGCAGCTGGACGGCGGCGGCACGGTGTGGCACTGCACCAAGGTGCCCTTCCAGTGCTATGCGCCGGTGAACCTGCGACCCGACCTTTTCAAGTGAGCCACGTGCTCAAAACCGAAACCGATTCGGGGATAGATGGAGGTTAGTCAGGGGCAGTCCCAGCCGGAAATAGTTGCGGCCGCCTTTCTTTACATAGTTCTGGGTTCACCATTTTTGTACCAGGTTTTGATTGTGACTCAAGCGAGTTTAACGGAGACATATGGGGAAACATGTGGAAATGTACGGAAATACGGGATGTGGGAAAATATGGGGAAACATGGGACACCTTGGTGTGATGCTTTTGGGAATCAGAGGTGTCGTTTGAGCACGAGGCTTTTCATTCGAGCATTCCGGAACCTTCATTTCCATGTCACGTTCCCTGAAGTCGCCTGCTGCACAAAGGCAAAGTCAGAGGCTGACTTGTGAGAAGCCGCTCAAGTACGACAGCAGCATCAACACGACGCTGCTGATGCAGAACCTGAATGCACTCTGGTTCGTAGGCTTTGCTGAGGCGTATCAGGCTTCAGTCTGCCTGCTTCACTGGCGAGTACTACACTCGCTGCCACAGTACTGCGACTGCGCTGACAGGCAGAGATGGCAAGAGTTTCACGGGCACACGGAAAATCAGAATCTCGTTTGTCTTAGCACGACTTTTATGCCGTCCCTGTTCCTTGTCTTTTCCATTTGCAATGTATGGGGATTTGAGCTTGCAGCAGCTGTGCACCAAGGAACAGCACCTACTATGGGGAGGAAAAACTGGCACAGCTTCGCGACACGGTGCTGCAGGACATAGATGCACTTACTGCCACGGATCGATTGCTGTACAAAGCAGCCTGGGACCGCTTTGTGCGCGAGAGCGCCGATGTGGCAAGGGAATCCGGAAAACAAATTCTGTGTAATGCCTCTGTGCCTTTGCCGCATTGATACTGGGCAAGTGTCCAAGAGCGATGTGCAAGGAATACAGAAAAACAAATAAGCGGCGCTGAGCGCGCCTGAGCCTTCAAACTTAGGTATACGCTGGTGCAGTGCTCCAGATCTGCTTTTATTCAGAGTGCGTAAGACAGTAGCCCTTTAGTGCACGTCAAAATCTCCATGATTGTGTTCTGCTAGACGGCATTTCCAAACGGTTGGCCATTGCAAGGATCCTGGATGCGTCGCGTGAATGTGGGCCAGGCCAAACACACCCTTTTCAGCAGGCAGCATTACATTCCAAGGCCGCAATTAACTCTGACGGGGATGCTTCCCGTTTGATAAATAATGCCATCAAGATTAGGCACTTTGGGACTATCCATTCTAGGACAAGCACACGCACACACAATTTTCCACAACCAAGGCGCAAGCTGGAAGTTCCCCCTCCTCCACAGAGCTTCTGTAATTTTTTGCGGCAAATTTGCGTACCCGCATCTTGCAGTCAAAGTTCCAGCCGCCATTGCACTTCCGTGCCAGGAAGGTCTGCGCCACGCCACGGACGCCCAGAACCTCTACAGTGATTTGCAGCTTTGGCACTGCCCGCAGCTCAGACGTGCCGGGAGGGCCATAGCGGGATCTTAGCCAAGACTGGGGTTGGCCAGTGCACAGAGAAAAAGTAGAAAGCACTACGACCAGCGGGACATGTTGCAAACTGACTGCTTAATACAAAGAAAGAGCCACAGAATCAGCAAGTCAAATCAATCTGCAGCCTTTTGGGAGGCGTATCTTTTGGGTGTCGTCACACACATGTGGCCCATTGTCAGATCCAAGCCAAACACAGATGCCCAGTTTTGGGTGAACCACCTGCTTGCTTTTTTGTTGCTTTTTTTGGGTGATTCTTCAATGTCCTGCAACCTCTCCCTGTGGCTGGTTTCTACAATATCTTCAACAGTGTTCAATTTGACGAATGAATCTCCCGTGGCTGGTTTCTACAATCTCTTCAAAAAATGGAGCTGTTCAATTTGACGTGAATCATTTGGCTTGTCAACAAATTGCTCTGTTCAACCAAATTGGATCCTCGATGCCGACGAGCGAACTTTGGGATCCTTGGCCTCGGCTTCTCCGAGGCCATGCCTCGGTGGAGCTCAGCCTGGCGCGGCTCTGCCTGGAATCCGAGCAGCCCAGGAAGGCGCGATGGAGCCAGCGAATCAATGGAGTGAAGTGAGTGAAGTGAGTCCAAGGTGCCGGAAAATCCTTGATTTACATGTGTGGAAATCCAGCATGCTGGTGGGGAACCCCACAGAGGGCTATTGCTGGCCTAAAGCGTGAGGTCTTCTTTTGTTGGGAAGACGGTTTGAGGGTAGCGACTCGTGACAAAATCCACGGGTCTACCGGAATCGATGTTTGTCGCTGCGTGTTACGAGGTACAAGTTGCTGAGTGCCCGCCGTCGAGAGCCGTCCAGGGTATTGTCCCCCACTAGCGAAAATGCCTTTCTCAACGTTGGATGATGGTCACTCATTGCAAGGAAGGGGCATGTGGCATCTTTTGGCGCGACGAATGCAGACATGCGCCAAAAGGACAGTGTTTGTTCCACAGCAGTAGAGCAATGGTCGGATCGTCACATCTTTCTACCTCGAATAGGTCCTATTGCGCTTTAGTTTGACACAACAGGCATGCCAACGTTTCAGTCGCCTGCTGAGCAAATTGTGATGCGAGAGGCTATGAAGATTGCGGAAGAGGCACGTCGGCCGAGATTGGTGGCTGATGTTGTTGCTGCTGCTTGTCCTTCTTCTTTTGCATCCATTTTTTCCATCCTTTCTTCGAGCCAGAATTGGTCTTGGATCCATTCCCAGAATTCATTCTTTGCCCGACCAGTTGCCCCCAGCTTGCAACTGCCAAAGTGACAAGGGACACGCCTGTATTTGGTTCCTTGCGTTCTGGATTAGCAGCACCACTGGGTTCTTTGCGCCAAGTAGCACAATTGCAGCGGCGGGGCCAAGGGGCCCCGTCCAAGAGCCATGTTTGCAAGTGCTCCAACATTGCCTCGGTCTAGCCATGGAAGTTGCAAGAGACCAAGGGAACAGCAAGACTAGACGGGTGCGGTACTTGGCCGCACGCGACGCCACGAGAGCTCTTGTGGAGCCTGTTGCTCTCAGAGCCCGAGTGCTCGAGGGACTGTCATGAACCCCTATGACTCATGACTGTGTCCCTAGTGCCTCCAAAGTGTGCAAGCCATATAGGTTTCTTTGTTTTTGGTAGTGTTTCGCCAAAACAAGAGTTCTTTCTATACATTTTTTCTTTTGGGGGGGCATGTACAACCCCAGGGATACACCCAAAGCCGACCTGACATTGGCCCTTGCCTCCCCACTCCAGGCCCTGACGTTGCTGCAGGAGTTGGGCCACTCGGCACGTTGCAAATGCACTTCCAGGGTTCCACTGTTTGACTACCCCACGATAGACTTAAACCGGCTTCTCCTTTTTGGGGGGAGGAACCACCCCTGGGTTTAAGTTGACCTTGGGGTAGTCAAACGGAACCCTGGGAAGGCAAGTGATGCTCGCTGAGCTACAAGACATTGGCCGAACCTGCGCAGCTGTAGCAAGCGGAGCGAACTCTTTCAATCGACAGCGGCGCAACAGACGCAGACGCAAGGGATATATTCCATCACTGTGTCTTTTGCTTGGCTCCTTCAGCTAGAGGTTCGCTACTCGTCTTGAGAGGCTTGCGGGAATCGGAGCCAACACCTGCCACCCCCGTGATTCCAAGAACCCCATCCAGCCCCAGGTGTCGGAAGCTGGCGCAGTTGACTTTGCTGGGCTAAGCCTTGCGTTTCTCTTTCTGAAACTTATCATTTATTTTTGTGGCCAGGCTGAGGGTTGACTAAGCAGCCGTATGATGTGGAGGTGAACGTTGGCAATGGACCATCGAAGTGAGGTTCCCAACCAGGGGCACTTGCCCTAGGTCGTTGAACATAGCGTGTTGGCCGTTTGTGACCTTTCTGCTGTTGCTCATAGGCTCGCATGATCAGCTCGTCCTGATATCGTTGGAGCGCAGTGCGCCGCTCCTCCATTTCCCATTGGCTTCAGCCCTAACATAGCAAAACTCACTCCACAAAACGTTCAGCCTCGGACTTGGCTCCGCATTCGGTCTCCCGAATTTGGGTGGTGTCTTTTCTCCCGGTGACCGCCCTGCAATCCTGAACCCCTCGCTTCCGGGCAAGCGATCGGCCGGAAGTTATTCGTCCAAGGCAGCGAGGAGCACCCGGCGCTGGGCCTCTTCTGCCAGGCGGCCCTGGACCTTGGCGTCCCGGAGCACGCGGAGAGCGCGGCGCAGCTGGCGGTGCAAAGGGCCCAGACGGCCAGGCGCGCTTTTTCGCCGCCACCTGAAAGCGGGGGAACCCCGGTGTCCCTTGAAAGTCTGCCGAAAAAGGGGACAAGGCTTCACCTGGCCAACCAGTTTCATTTTGTTTCTTCTTTGTTTGTTTCTTTTTGTGGTTGCGTTTTGAATCGTTTTGGAGGTTCCCCCTTGTTTTTGAAAAGTAATTGAAGAGGATGGTAGTCTTCCAAATGACTCCTGCTCACAAACTTAGAATACGCATGTCTGGCTTGAATTGACAAAGCCCCACTTTGGGGAATATTGCCCGCATGGAGGTGAACTACAAGCAATTGGCCGATTCTGGAAAGTCAGAACGTGTTTCCATTGGGTGTTGCAAGGTCATCGACCAATTTGTTCTTGCCGCTGGGAGCTTACAGCATGGAGAAAGGAGACCCGAGACTCATCCTCAACCAAAGCATCCTCAAATCAACACTCTTTGCCACCAACCTCTCGCCTGCGCTTGGCGACAGTGCATAGGCTTGAAGTTGAGATGGGCTTCTTCAAAAAATGCCCCTTTTTGTGGTCAAACCAACCCATCATGTTTTGGGCTGCTGTGGTCAGACGGTCATCATCCTCGGGTTGTAAACTCCACCAATACAAAGTTCCCCCCCAAAAAATGGAACCTGCCCCCTCCGCTTGTTGTGGTCATTCGAGACCCATCGAAGTTTGAGGTTACTATGATCCTTCGGACTACCACCAAGCTTCAAACCACCAAGTTCCCACATTCAGGGACCCGCGACTCGGATCCGCAGATTCGGAGTTTCGAGTTTTCGACGCGCAGGCAACACGCCTTGGCCCTGGAGCTCTTGGCCGGGGTTCTCTCAGAGTCCGGGCAGGTGAGCGAGCGCTCGAGCGCTCGAGAAGAGTTGCAGGTTCGGATTATGCAGTTTACGCAGCTCAAGGCATAGAAACAAGTCTGTCTGGTTTTTTGGAGGGTACCCTGATTTTTCCCGTGGTTTTTGCAGGACACCAACAGGACATTCCACTTGTTTTTTCGTTTTTTTTTGCGGGGTGTTCCCTTGTTTTCAGAGAGAGCCCCCAAGTCGCACCAGGTAGGGGCGACAGTCCAAACGATTCCCATCGGCTTGACGCAGGACGCAGCCCCCGCGCTGGGCAGAGCCCTGGACCTCAGCAAGGAGGATCCTGACCTGGAGGCCGACTTCGGCACGGATGGGTCGAACCAGGGTTGTGGGATCAAGGGGTTTTACCCCACGTCTGTGATACAAGGGAATCTCCCCCGTTATGCGGTGGGTTGGTCTTTGGGAAGCCCTTATTGTTGTATCACAGAAGTGGTCATTTCCCACAGCCCTGGGTCAAACCCTAAAATGTTTGTGGATGGCTCCCGCTCCACGGTTGTCTTTTTTTTTTAGTTGGCTTTTCCGGGTGCGAAACACCGAAACACACCGAGGTTTTTTGACCCAGAGCCAGATGTCAAGGTGCGACAACCCTGTTCCAGCAGACGGTTTTGCGTACCGCCAAGGGAGTTTGCCCACATGGCCCGCGTTTTAGTTTGGTTTCACATAAACTGCCATTCACACAAATGTGGTAGAGAGATGATATTCAGCACAGTCGCTGCAAGGCAAGAGTCGTGTGCAAAGCAAGCACCTGAGAAAGTGCAGACAATCACAGGACAGCTTGTTT